CGCCACCTCCCTCCGCGTCGCCGCCGCCTCCCTCCGCGTCGCCACCGCCGCCGCCGCTGTCCGAGTCGCCGTCACCGCCTCCGCCGTCCGCCCCCCCCTCGCCACCGCCGCCGTCCGTCTCGCCGTTGCTGCCGCCGCCCTCCGTCTCACCCCCGCCACCGCCGCCGTCGGCCTCGCCCTCACCGCTGCCGCCGTCGTCCTCGCCGTCTCCGCCGCCGCCGTCAACCTCGTCCTCGCCGCCGCCATCCTCCGCCTCGCCGCCGCCACCGCCTCCATCCGCCTCGCCGTCGCCTCCCCCTCGCCGTCGCCGCTACTTGCTCGTATTTTAGGTGCGTCCACGCCTCGCCCACCACCTTCCGGCAGGGCCCCGGACGCTTGGTTTCGTCCTCATCCCCTCGCCCCTGCCCCGCCCCCCTTCAGGTGAGGGCCCCCCTTCAGGTGAGGCCCTGGCGACTCAACTCGTGCTATGGTCACCGGGAATGGGCAGCTGCGCCACGCTCTTCGAGAGCGATCGACGGCGGCGGCTCGTTTTCCGCACGCGTACGGCGGCCTGCTGCCGGCGCGGCCGGGCACTCCAGGAATTTATTTTGAGTACTCTCGTAAACTCGTGACGCTTGTGGGGCTAGTATGTTGTTTTCTGAGGGCGTCCGGGGCGGAGGAGTATTTTTTTGTGCGCGCGGGCGGCCGGGGGCGGCCCCTGGGCGCCCTATGGCCGATTTTTTACAATCGAACACACCCGGCCTGTGCAGTCAGGGCAAGTGGGGGCGGGGGGCAGTCCCTCTGGTCCGATACTGGTGTGGTTCTGTCTCTAGTCTCGGAGGGGGGCTTGAAGCTAAGAATATTTTTTTTTAGTCCCGCCTGCCGCCCAGATACCGAGGGCGGGGCGCACTCTTCGACTTGGGCTATTATTTGCCACCGGGAGGGCGGCGGCGGCGGTGTAGGGGCGGCGGCGAGCTCCCGGTTGCAAATACTCGCCTCACAGTCCAAGATGGCGGCTCGCGCCCCCATCCGCGCACCAGTGTGCTACTCTAGTCCCGCCTGCCGCCCAGATACCGAGGGCGGGGCGCACTCTTCGACTTGGGCTCTATTATTTGCCACCGGGAGGGCGGCGGCGGCGGTGTAGGGGCGGCGGCGAGCTCCCGGTTGCAAATACTCGCCTCACAGTCCAAGATGGCGGCTCGCGCCCCCATCCGTGCACCAGCGTGCCACTCTAGTCCCGCCTGCCGCCCAGATACCGAGGGCGGGGCGCACTCTTCGACTTGGGCTATTATTTGCCACCGGGAGGGCGGCGGCGGCGGTGTAGGGGCGGCGGCGAGCTCCCGGTTGCAAATACTCGCCTCACAGTCCAAGATGGCGGCTCGCGCCCCCAAGCATCCATGCTCTGATGTGTCGCTTGGGTCGCCTCTGCTGCTGTGTCTCTGTCTAGCCAGATATCGAGAGCGCGCGACGACAACCAACCCCTTACCCTAATCCTAACCCTAACCCTAACCCTAACCCTAACCCTAGCCCGAAGAACCCAAAGCATTCACCGAGAGCTCGTGTCGATGGACCGCTGATTCCTCCATTTGGTTTCGGCCCAAACCGGACCATTCTCTTAGGAGCTGCACAACGGCTTGAACGCTCTCTGACCCTAACCCTAACCCTAACCCTAATTCTAACCCTAACCCTAATCCTAACGACACGGTGCTTCTTAAGAGGTCGTGCGCGTCGCTGCCGACGCATCTCGCGTGTATGGTGTATTTGCAGTGTATTTCGGCGGGGGCGCGCATTAAAAGAACATTGAGGCAACACAC